TGCCTGTGACTGCCACCCACATGTAGGCAGGAAAAGGAAGTCCCAGGTTCACTTTCATCTCTGATGGCTGTGGAGCCTTGGGAGTAGTTTAGCATCTGGGCTCCCCGCCTCATTTCTCAGCCTGATGGATGTCCCCAGCTAGGGAGGGGACTCACATTCCAGAGAGGAATGAATGAGATGAAGAATGGTGAGAAAGGTAGGGAGAAGAAGGCAGAGAGGCCCTTCCTTTCTGGGGCCACATGCAAACCAGTGGGATAGGGACATGGTCACGGGGGTGATCTTATAGTGCAGTAGGAGGGAGGGTCCAGGAAGCCAAGCTCTGGAGGTCAGCTCGTCACAACCCAACATCTACAGAGAGCCCCAGGGAGGCCCTCAATTGTCCCTGACCCTCACCACCAGCTGCTATGGGCAGCCACTCAGGGTGGCACATGGCCTGGAATCCTCTGTGTTGACCTCGGAGATCATCAGCCCTCTCACAAGGGAATTCTAATTTAGAAGGGAGACTTTATTAGTCCAGTTGAGGCAGCTCCTTGATTCTATGCTATGTTCCCCTTGTTACTGGCCAGGGCAGGTAATTGAAGAGTTAAACTCAGAGGGAAATGAGGTGTGCAGTGGCTAAAGGGAGGGAGAAGAGGGGAGGGGACTCTGGGGTTGGCCAGGGCCATCAAGAAGGGCAGAGAAGCCAGGAGGGAGAGGGAAGGAGCTGGTGGTAGGGTGGGGTGTGTGGGAATGGGGTGCACAATAGCTCAGACTGGCTTCCATATGGACCTTCAGGAGATAAGGATGTTTTCTTGCACTTCTCTCCCATCTCTGCCTTGTTTGCTGCCCCTGTTTGGGGGTGATTGCAGGGTAATGAATGTGGCAGGAAACAGCACACAGCACAAATGAGATAGAGCACCTAAGACCAGGCCGGGGCCCAGGCAAAACACGCTTAATAAGAAGATAAGGAAATCAATTCTGCTTGTCTTCCCAGGCATGCACCTGGGAGGGGCCTGCAGGAACCAGGTTTTTCTGCCTTGCTGGCTGCTTGGGAAAGCTGCTGTAGGACATGGAGTCTGATGCCCTGGAAGGAGGGCTCCCTCGATGGTGTCTCTTGACATTGCACCATAATAAGAATAGTTAATAAAACAATAACAGCCATGGGCTTATTTGTCTTGCTGGACATCAGGCACTATTCTGAGCCGTGCTTTGCATTATGTTGTTTCATTAAATCTTTTCAGTAACCCTATGCATGCAGTTAGGATCTTATCTCCCATTTTACACACAAGGAAATAGGCACAGAGGAGTTAAGTAACTTGACCAAGTTGGCACCACTAGTAAAATGACAGAGCTAGGTTCCAAGCACAGGCAATCTGGCTCCTGGAGCTGGGCTCCAAACCATCAAGCTGTATTGCCTCTCTGCTGTAGTTTGGATCAGAAATGTTCCTCAGAGACCCATGTGTTAAAGGCTTGGTCACCAGCCTGTGGGGCTGTTGGGAGGGAGTGAAACTCTTAGGAGGTGGGGCTACTGAGTAGAAGCTGGATCAATGGAGAGATGCGCTTGAAGGAGGTATTGGGACCCCAGGGCCTTCCTCTTCCCCTCTCTTTCTGCTTTTTGGCCACAGTAGTTGAGCAACTTTGCTCCACCATGTGCTCCTGCCATGATGGTTTGCTTTGCCACAGGCCCAAAAGAAATAGGGCCAAAGGACAATGGTCTGAAAACCCATTATAAGTTGGTTTATCTCAGCTATTTTGTCACAGTGGCAGAAAGATCTCCCTAAACACAAGACAACCCACCCCAACCCAACCCAACCCAACACTCACGAGTCTTTGGGCTGACTATCTGCCAGGCACTGTTCTTTATGGCGAGATTCAGTGTAAATTACTCATGATTTCCCCCTAAGCCCTTTTTGCTTCAATTAAATGACAGAAATTTGCTGATCAACAAATTTGTGTTCACAGGCTGTGCTGGGCATGAAGGATGCCAGATGCCCCCAACAGACCCAGTGGGAGAAACAGACATGAACACAGTTATTCTCAAGAGAACGGGTTTAGTGCTGCGATCAAGGGGGGACAGTCAGGCTGTGTGGACTTCAGGGAGGGCTTCCTGGAGGAGATGTCTAAAGTGACTCCTGACAGGTAGATGCAAGTTAGCCAAAAAAGGTGGGAAGAGCATCTAACCGGAGGCGTGGTCAGTGAAGGGAGCTACAAGCTGGTTGTGATCTGAGTGAGTGGGTGGTAGAGCTGGGGCTGGAGAGAGGGCAGATGGCAGGCTGGGAGGGCCCCATGTGCCATGGCAGGCTTTGTTCTTCAGAGACACTTTTTCACCCCAAAAAACTGCTCCCACTATTCCCTACTGACTTGCCTTTTTATGTAGAGATGCCTGTGGGTGGGTTTCTTGGAAACAGTTTCTGGAAAGACCGATTAGAAGCCCACGTTCTCAGGCTCTGTTTCAACTCTGCATTCCCTGGCTGGAAGTGCCTGCGTTATTCTCAGCTCCTCTTTGGACCCATCTGCCCAGAGGATTTGGGCATCGGGAACTGGGAGATGCTGCCCATGCTGAGGGCCCAGGAGAGCAAGTCAAGGACACAGAACATACTAGACCTCATCTCGGCCCCTCTGTCTCCTGGGCTTGGCATTCTTGTAAAAGACACCCTCTTCATTTGAATCGACTTGGTTTCCAACTTTAATAATTCATGTTGATTTGAAAGCTTTATTCCTACCAGGAGTCACAAGACAGCAGAGTTAATATTGGAACAGTCCAAGAAGAAGAGGGAAGCCGGGAGAAAGATTGGGAAAAATGCCCTTTAAAAAATGATTTATCAGACATCCAACACCCCCACTTCCAATCCCCTCACCCTGCTGCACTCTTTCTTCTCTATAGCGATTTCCTTGTTTAATCTGATTATTATTTTATTGATTGTCTCACTCCGTCCTAGAATGTAAGCTCTACTAAGGCAAGAGTAGTCTTGATTTTCATTTACTAATGAGTCCTAGATCAGGGCTGGGTGCATAATAGGTGCTCAGTAAATATTTGTGGCTCAAATTCCTAGTACCCATTTTCTCCTTACCCTGGATCCCCTAATTTTTATTTCCCATCTTCAAGCAGTTTGAAAGAGCAAGTGCAAAGCCGTCCTTATAGTTCTGACCTGTAACAGGAACCCTGGGGTTCCTGCACTTGGGAAAAGTGTGGATGTGTGTGAGTGTGGGTACAGCTTTAGTGTAGATGGCATTTTATTGTTTATAGAGCATGTGTATTTGAAGTTCATAATGACTCTGTGAGGGTGATATTTTTATTTTCCTCATTTATAGATGAAGTACCAGAAATTTCATTCAGTCATTTCATTCATATTCTCTTAAAAATTAAACCAAACAAATATTATTGAATACCTGCTCTGTAGTAAGTGCTGGTTATAAAGAACACGCCAGGCTCAGCTCTGGCCCCAAGGACAGTGTACAAAGTCACACAGTCAGCTGCACACGGTATTCTACTTCCCAGCCCGGGGCTCCTCTTCCTATACCACAGCTCTGCACATGTGCATGGGCCCCTGTGATATCCACCTAAGCTGAGTCTCTGCACAGGAGGTTGGGTAAACGTGGAAGATGGATACAGAGGGAAGCCTGGCAGTTAAGGTACCTAGCCACGCCCAGAATCCCAGGGCTGGATGGGACTCTGAGAGATCCATCTTCTAGCCTTAAGGTGCGATGCTGTCTAAACCATCATAATCAGTTACTTTCTAGGCCTCAGGCACCACAGGAATCTTGTTTCCAGTGGGGGATGGCCCATTTTCCTAAAATAGTTGGTGTAGCATGTTGGACTCCTGACTCTGGAAGTATAGCCTTTTTGGGAGCTGGACAGTTCTTAGACTTTTTTTTTTTTTTTTAATCATCATCTCTTATTTTACAGGTGAAGAAAGAGACCAGAGAGGTTGAATAATGGCACCAGAATCACATAGCTGGCCAAGAGTAGGATCAAGATCATTGCCTCTAAATCAGAGTCTCTTTATGATACCAAGATTCCTGAGTTGTTCTGCATGCAGAATGAAGACTGTTTTTATATAGACTGAGTAAAGGCTTGGTCCCTGGCAGCTGGGTGTATCACAGAGGGAATGGAGCCTGACCATTGACCTGGACTGTGGCTCCCCAGTCTAAACTTTTCTCAGTTTAGCAAACTCAATTCCTTCCCCCATGTTTTCCCCTCATTTTCTAGTTCCCTCCCTCTGCCTCTCGGGGTGGCAAATGTTCAGCTCAAAGTTGCTCCTTGCCTGATTGCATCTGAGAGCTGGAAACACAATGCTAATTAATGTGTCTGTGACTCTAGGCTTGCCTGCCGGGCCCAGTCCCCATCCCTTCCCTGGAGCCCAGAGGCTCTGCGAACTGGCCCTCTGGCTTCTTCCAGCGCACTGCTGTGGGCAGATGCATATTTTAACAATGCACATCTGTTGGCCATATAATCTCTCGTATTTGCCCTCCTCACTTGGTGCTTTGATAGAAGACTCCTGGGGGCTTCTCTCTGTTCCAGCCAAAGTGTTTGCTTTGCAATTTTGCAGGAATACCATCTGATTCTGCTCTCACGTCTTCTGCAGGTTCTAATCAGGCTCTTACTTTATTTAATTAAAAATCTATCTCAGGCAAATACAGACTAAATTAGGAAGCTCTCTCATTCCTGGAACACAGGGAAGGTAGCCCCCCTCGGGGAATGGGCTGGGACATTTTCCCAGGCTAAGATGTCACAGCAGAGCAGATGGGGTCTTGGGTGGAAGGAAGGCAGCTGGGCCAGGGGGCACCAACACCTTTCTCCCTTCCGTGGGAGTGTCCACCCACCCTTCCCAGATCAGGGCTCCCTTGCCAGCAAACTGAGTCAGTTTCTGCTTGTGGGGCCTCCCTTCAGGGCAGCAGGTGAAGCCCTCCACCTGGAGAAACAGCCAGGCAGAGCCTGGTGGCTGGGGGACCTCTACGACCAGCTAGGGCAGGGAAGGGGGGACCTAGAGGAACAGCTGAGGGGTGGGGGCATGGGGAGACTCTAAGGAATAAGGAAGGACTCCAGGCAGAGCTCAAGGTAGCTTTTTCTTACCCAGGGCTTAATTTGCGTTGGATGAATGGTTTTTACAGAGACTGCATGAAAGGCTGATGGACAAGATGCCTGTCCGGGTTCCCTTTGTGACTCTCAGAAATTGTACTGAGGGGACCCTGCTGGGGCCCTTTATGACTACTCTCCCTTTGGCTGATTTCCAGACTGAATAGACACCTCCCCCGCACAAACCCAGCTCTGTGCCCAGAAAACAATGTCAGGTCAGGCCACTGGAAAATGGGGAGCAAATGCCTTTTAGATGTGATTCAAGACAAAATCAGGTATCTAGATTGGATCCCAAGGCCCTGCTCTGAGAAGTCTGGCTCCTAACCAGCCGGACAGATGACAGTCTGCTGGCATTTGAAATGAGGAGACTGGGCAAAGAGCATTGTTTAGAAGTTGGAAAGCATGGAGTTGATTTTAGATGTTAATTAAGCTCTGTGACCTCCTGTGAGTGCCTCTCTGAGTCTCTCCATTTCCTTATCTGTAAAACACAGGAATAATTTAGATTTAGAATGTTGGTCTTTATTGGTTTACTGAGATGGTATAGGATAGGAAGCATGAATGACGAGGGTTGGCTGGTGAGGCTAATATGCCTCAAGGACTAGGTATGTCTCCATCTAATTTAGGTCTTGCATGAAATTGGAGGAGTGAACAATGCTTACTTAGGTTCTGCTCTTTGTGGCACCCACCCCCCTCCCACCCTGCCCTCCAAGACAAGAGAGCGGAGGCAGGTTCTTTGCAGGATGGAGCCTGGATCATCTATGAAGATAGAGATCCTACAGCATCACTTAGCCAATCCATTTTGGTATTTAGCAGCCCTCAAATCTGAATGACCATTAGGCACTAAGTCTGGGGATGCTCTTTAGCATCCCTGGCTGCCCCCCTCAGTCCCCTCCTCCTGGTCCACTATCCAGCCTATTTACCCTGCAGAACAGTTTGTTTCACATCCTTTCTTCACAGGCCAGAAAGAGGTTGGAGGAAGTTGGGAGGCTGGCCTCAACTCCCTCTCCCCATCCAATAAGCCCAGCTCCTGGTTGTCAGTGATCCCCCGGGGCCTGTCTGCTGCCGTGCTTGGAATCATCTGCTCCAGTGTGTTTGGCCGTGTAGATTTGAAGATAACCTGACATGCTCTTAAATATTTCATCTCTGAGCAGCCGTGCACCTTATCTTCCAGACGTCGAGGCTGCACCCCAGCTGCTGACCCTGTCGTCACTGCTCCGTGGCAGCTGCCAAGAGGTGGCTGGGGCAGACTGGGGCAGACTGGGGCTTCCCTCTTCTGCCCGTCCATGCTCCATCCCCCATGTGCCTGGCAAAGACTCAACCACAAGGAGCCAGGGAGGTGGTGCAAGGAGCCCTGGCCAGCAGAACCTGGGCCAGGCCCTCTGCTTCTCTGAGCCTCAGTTTCTTACCTGGGGTAACAATCCCGGACCTTACGAGTGGCTCAGGAATGGAAGAGGTGATGTGTGTCAAGGGCTTTGAGAGTTACTGTGCACTGCTCTGCAAATGTGAGCTGTTATTATTTAGGAGCAAAACCTGTTTTCCTGTAACACTGATTCTCAGAACATCTGACCAGAGGAGGGAGACTCCTGGGGACTGGACTCTCAATCAGAAGTGGTTTAAGGGGTTAACAAGTGAGCCCATCCCTGTCTTCATGCAAGTCTGCCAGAAGGAAGGAGTGGAGACCTCTTCAGGAGAGCTGTCCCAGAGACATGTGAAGAAAGATCAAGGGGGAGAGGTATGATTTGGAATAAGGGCCTTAAATAAATTTTTCTAGGAATAACCTGAGAACCAAGATTCTTGGGGAACTGTGGGGTGTGGGGAAAGAACAGGGGTCACTGGCCATCCCTATGAACACCGAATTTATGGGGGAATCAAGATTAAGACTAATTCCACAGTCGAGGTGAGCAGGTAGGGCTTTGTTGGCACCCCGGCAGAGGACAACTCAGAAAGAAGGGACTGAGATTGTGCACTGCCTGCCCTATGGCCTGGTCTTGTTCACACGTACAGAGCACCCAGGAGCCTTCATTAGCTCCTAAGGTGTGGTCAAACACAGCAGAGTTAGTTGACATTGGCCTTCTGACATTTTAAGGCAGGAGCCTTTACTTGTCCCCTGTGGTGGAGGGACAGGGGAGGGGGTCACAGACACCATGGGGGCAGCTGGGGCCCTGTGATGATGCAGCGGGGGGTCCCCCACCTGCCCAGAAGGCCCCTCCTGGAGCTGAGCCTGGTGGTGGCCAGAGAATCCTTGCCCCCTCACGTGGGTGGCTCTTACCCAGGACGGTGAGGCGTGCGGGGCGGGACCGGATGGCAGCCTGGATGGCCTGGCATTCGTACACAGCATCATCTTGCAGTTCTGCCCGCAGGATCTTCAGGTGGTGTTCCCCTGACAGGTGGTTCCCCACCACCAGGTACTGGGGGTAACCTGTGGAGACAGTGGGCAGATGAGGGAGATCAAAGCATCCCACCCAAGTAGACTTCTTTAGCCTGTTTCCTGATGGCTATTTGGAGGTGATACAGGCTCCAGAGAGAACGACTCTGAAAAGCTGTCCACTTACAAACAGAAAGGCACTTAGTGGGCAGCGGAAGCAGGTAGAAGCTCTTCCATCTGATCTCCACTATCTGCTGAGGAAAGATCTTTTCACAGGGAGAAGGGATTGTGGAGCTGACCCCTGGCCCAGAAAGAGATGGCCTTGTGGTGACTGGGACTGACAGGCTTTATCTGCAGGGTAAGACCACCTTTGCTCCCTGCATTTCCCTCCCTTCTCCCTTCCAGAACTTTCATCGCCCCCTCCCCCCAGCAGCTTCAAGAACCTGTTTCTTTCAGGAGCTCAAAATGTTATTTCAGCTTCAACTATCTGGCCTTTTCTTTGAGTCTCCTACTTTGAGGATGGCGCCCATGTTTCGGTACATTAATAAGCTTGTCTACTCCCCCTGTTAATCTGTCTATTGTCAGTTTATGTCACAGGCTAAAATTATTAGACCCTCAGGAAAAAGAGAAGACTTTTCTTTTAGCTCAGGAGAGTTGGGTGGGGGTGGAGGAATGTTGGTTATTGCTCAGGGGCCCCAATCTCCTGTAAGGAGCAAAAAAAAAAAATCAGAGTTTCCCAGGGTGTCGGGGCAGGGTATGCATGTGCGTGTGTATGTGTGTGCACATGCGTGTGTGCAAAGATGTTGTGGGTTTTATGTTTAATTGGAGCAAAGCCACTATGAGGAAAGGATAGAGAAGAAATGGAAACGCTAAGTGCGGTCAGATACAGCTGGGTTATTGCTCTAGAAAGTGAAATGCTCAGCACTGTGGTCTACTAAGAAGACAAGTGTTTTGATAAGGAGACACGATGGGGCGGGGGTGCAAGAGAGAAAGAAGCAAGCCAGACTCACAGAGAAAAGACGGAGTGAGAGAGTGAAGGGAGGAAAAACAAAAGAGAGAGAAATATTTGGAAAAGGATCAAAGGTGAATTTTGGGGAAAACTTTTGTTCCAGGATGGACAGGAACAGAAATCTACTGGGACCTGGGAACCTCAGGGCACTTTGAACCCTAAGAGGCCTTTTTCCAGTCTTTCCTACTACCCACCTCCAGAGCCCAAGGGCCTGATTAAGCACTTGAGGCGCTCAGGACACTTAGGAATTTGGGGCCCCTTCTACCACTGGCAATGAATAATAGATAAATAAAAGTTTGAGGATGATAAATCATTGATCAGCTTTCCTGCTGCTGTGTAGGGCTGAATATAAATGCTAACTTAGTAATAGCTGGCCAGGCTGGGCCATTTCTCTCTCTCCTGGATCTCCTTAGTCTGTCCCAGCAGGATCCATCTTCCAGGCATCCCCTCACCCGAACTCTACCTTCCCCAGAAAACCTGTGTACCTTGGGCTTCACACAGACACCTGCACCCCCTCCTGGTTCTTCTCTGCCTCCACCCACCCTCCAACCGCCCACATGGCTGCTCTTTCTGAAACACCTTTCCCAGGATGAGGCATTCTCAGAACATCTCAGGATTGGACACATTTGGCCTTTTAAAGAAGAGACAAGGGCTAGAGAGACAGGGGGAGAGAGAAAGAGAATGGACACAGAGAGACATGCAAACACTTTTTCAAATATTCCCAAGTCCCGTGGTGTGGGTCAGATGTGTTCTTTAGCTCTTCAGGACAGCAGTGACACCCACAGACAGCACGTCAAGATATCTGAGGAGACTAACAAGGATTCAGTCCAGGCTGCCAAGAAGGGCAGTGAGTCCCCTTCCCCGGCTATAGTCAAGCCACGGTTGGATGCTCACCTCTCCAGGATGCTGCTGGGGCGATGTCTACACTGGATGAAAGACTGGACTAGGTGAGCTCTAAGACCCATCCCCTTCCATAAGCTAAGGATAGTCCGGAGGTGGGGCAGGGCTCCCTGGGCCACCAATGCCCATTGCTGGTCAGTGGGGTGAGTATCTGTGACTCTCTACCAGGCCTGGGAGCATGCTCTGGGGGGCCCTTTATAGCCACCATCATGCTACTAAGGAGCTCTGCTCTCCACAGCTGTGCAGTCCTGGCCAGAGATGCTCAGGAGGCAATCAGCTGCACCCCCGAGGGCACCCTCTCTCCTCCTGCCCACTCACCTGCCCTTGACTGGCAAAGGAGCCCAGGTAAGGGCAGCTGGCTCAGCCCCTGGGGCCTGGGCAGGGGGCTTCGAGTGGGGCCGGGCTGGAAGCTGGCCTGCCCTCAGTGCAGCTGGCTCACCGCCCCCAGCCCCTGCAGCCCAGCCTCTGGATCCCGCTGTCCTGTGATTAGTCCCTGGTCCCCTGCCGGCGTCTTGGCTGGAGCTGGTGTTTTTGTTGTCTTGTAAGCTATCACCAGCAGGATTTCACTCTCATGAGCTGCTGAAAACATCAGTGATGGGTTTGTTTGTATTTGCCTAATTAGGCGGTGAGCTGCGATGCTATCCCAAGGACTGGCAGCATCTTAGGAAAACAGACTCAGAAGTGTAGATTCTGAGGATGTTCTAGCTCCTTCCACAGCATCGTTACTCTCTGTCTACTCCTAAAGGAGGCAGAATTATTTAGAGTCTGGGTTCTAAAGTCAAACTGCCTGGATTTCAATGCCGGCTTCACTGTTGTCTTGGGCAAGCTTCCTTCTTCCTTTTTTTTGGGGGGGGGGCGGGCATTGGGGATTGAACCCAGGGGTGCTTAACCACTGAGCCACATTCCCAGCCCTTTTTGTTTTTTTATTTTGAGATGGTCTTGCTAAGTTGTTAGGGGCCTTGCTAAATTGCTGAGGCTGGCCTTGAACTTGTGATCCTCCTGTCTCAGCCTCCCGTGCTGCTGGGATTATAGGTCTGTGCCACTGTGCCGGGCTTGGGTGAGTTCCTTTAACTTATTTGTGATTTTGTTTCCTTATTTATCAGTGAAATGAAGACAATGCGAGGACGCCACAGCGAAGATGAAGCAGAATAGTGTCAAGTGCCTGGCGTATTAAAGGTTAATTTAAATAAAAGACCACAGTGAGTTAGAGTGAAGCCTCCACCTTTGGGGCTAGCAGACAGGGTCCTGTGCATTGGAGCTGGTTATATAAATGACACGATTTCTCTCTCTACTGTGACTCTGTTTATCTATTAAATAAAGGGGAAAATCCTTTTGTCCCTCTGGACAACTGTAGATTTTGAGATTATATCTGAGAAGTACTTGAATTTCTTAGAAGAAAAATGTTCTATCCATATGAGGAAGTATATTTATAAGTCATTTTCTTTGACTGGTGTTTCCAGCCCTGATGACCAGAAAGACACTGAGGTCTTCGGTGAGGGTCTCATGCCTGGTACACGAAGTGGGGCAACATGGTTCAAGTGGAAGTGGGCAGACCCCCCATCAGGTAGAGCCCAACCCTGGGCCTCAGTTTCCCTCCAGGAAAACTTTCAAGGTGTTAAGTGTTCTTCAAGTGCTTGCTGAAAGGGAGTGGGTTCTGCCATGCTAGGAGTGTTTATTGAGATGGATAAGTATCGATCATTATTACCAGGTTGCAGTTCTGGGGACAAGTGATCAAATACAGAACAGGTACTTATCAGGAGCTTGATCTTGGGCTATGTAGGAAGAGGGTCCAGCTTCTTCCTATAACTGGAGACAAGTTGGAGAGGAAGCCGACCCCAGTTCCTCAGACCCATTGTCCTTCAGCACCAAGCAGGCCTGGAGCCTGACCCCAGAAAGCCATTTGTGGAACTGGATCATAGAGGGGCAATCGTCATGCTGTGAGGACCATTCTATGACGCATCCCTGGTCACTGGGACCTTTTCTTGGCCACTGACCTAGCAAAACCCATGCCCCTGACTAAAGGCTGAAAACCACTGACCAGCAGCCCAGACGGCCTCTGTGGGCCAAGCTCAGAGCCTCCCAGAACATGAGCAGTTCTTGTTTGGGAAGGTCGTATCATTCTCCCAGTTTCTCTAGGGTAAGGGAATTCAGAGTCTCTGAAATTGGCTGGTTCCCATACTACTTAAACTTTATGGCAGCACAGTATATTTTGGAGATATTATTGTGTATTTTATCCATGCTCAGCTGGGCTGCAGCATTCAAACCCTGTGACTGCTATTGACCATTGCTGTAATGTTTCAATATACATTTTTGGCAAGACATAACTCACATTTTAAAATATTAATTTCCCAGCCATCAGGTTCCTGAGTGCACTTCGATTTTTATTTTCCTGCAGCTGTATACCATGAACAAGGCAAAAGCTACTTCTCAGTTGAATACATATTTTTCACTCATCGCCCACCCTCAGCCATTCCCAAATCACAGGGGAATGACACCCAGATCTGTCTTTGTGAATTTTACTGTTTATGTCAAGCTCAGTAAGTAACCATGTGTCTATCCACCCTGGGACTGAATAACAATGGCTAACGAGGAAGTGAGCGGGAGGATGACTCCATTCTTTCTCTGCTGGGGAGAGGTGGGTTGGAAAGGGGTTTGGATAGGTTTACAGGTAGCCACTCACAATAGTCAGCAAATGACACAGCACAGACACCAATCGGGGAGTTCATGGGCCAGCAGCTAGAGGAACCCTGGAGCTCAGCGTGGGGGCACCAGCCTGCAGGGCCGAACAAGGTTTGGCATTCATTGTAAAACCTTCCTGTCTGTTGGGTGTGGTGGTGCGTGTTCTTAATCCCAGTGACTTAGGAGGCTGAGATAACAAATTTAACAACTTTCAGGCCAGCCTGGGCAACTTGACCCTGTCTCAGAATCAAACATAAAAAGGGCTGGAGGTGTGGCTCAGTGGTAGAGCACCCTGAGTTAAATGCCCAGTAACAAAACAACAACAAAAACCTTCCTGTTTTCTGTCCCCATCATAAGATGATCTCTAAGACCAACTTAGGTTTCTTTATGACTTTTTAGTTCACTTGGCTTCCTTAATTGGGTGGGAAGCCAGGTTATGCTTTGAAAAATGGGGAATAGATCTTGGGCCAAGAAACCAGAGCCCTTAATTTCTGGAAATCAGACTTCATGTGCTTGACTTGGGAATAGATTCTCCAGGGCAACAGTGGGCTAGGCTCAGGAGGAGCCTGAGGATGGAGGGTGGTTCATCACTGGCAACCAGAGATCCTGGAACTCCTAGGGAGCCTAGACTCCGGCCTTGCCTAGCCTGGCTCTGCCCAGGAGCTACAGTGGCCGTGGGAGGTTTGACCCGCCATGCCTGTGATGGAAGATGAGCGTTCCCTAGGGGAGTGGACGGTGGGTGGGGCAGTGGCCCGGCTGGGCCTGCCTGGGGGTCTGAAGGTACTCACTTGAGAGGTCTCTGCCTACACCCAGAGCCAAGCCGTCTTTGATCCACAGAACGAAGCCATCGTATTCTGGGATGGCGCACAGCAGCGTCACTGGCTGTCCGGATACCACCACTTGGTCTTGGGGTTGCTGGCTGAAGGAGTAGACTTGGCCTAGGAAGGAGACAAGCACTGTGGTCAGGTATGGGCAGCATCTGGAGGGCTCCCCTACAGCACTGGAAGCAGGCACTATTTTTAGGCCCATTTTCCAGATGAGGCAGCTAGAGAGGGAGGTGAGAAGTAACAGAGGCTGTGCTGCTCGATCACTCGTCAACACTGGTCCCTGCCCTGCCTGCCACAATCATCTGAGCACCACCCATCCCACTCTGCAGGAAGTGGGCAGAGGAGGGCTTTGGGGTTAACTGGAGTGCCTAGGGATCATCTAGTGGCAGGGTGAAGGTTGTGAATGCAAGTCTTCCGACCCTATAGATCTCGTTCTTTTCTACTGAGCTAGGCCGGTGCAGCTCCCTAAGCCTGGTCCTAGACTGAGAGGTTAAAGAAGGGAGTTTACATGGTCTGTGTTCCCTGGGCAGTTACAGTTGACCACAACATGAAACCGAGTCACTGAACATCGGGCACACAGTGTGATCTATGCTTTACACACCCCCTTCTCCTGTGGTTCATTTAACAGATTTCAGGGCAGAAATATCCCCAATTTATGACAAAGAAACTGGGATCAGAGAGGCATGGCAGTCTGCCCAAGGTCACACAGCTAATGAATGGTGGTTGGGCTAGGGTCCATCTGAGTTCTGAGCCCTCACTTTTAGTCTACCCGCTACCCTGCAGATACAAATGACCAAGAGGAACCGAAGCCAGTGCAGCCTCTCCTCTCCCACCTGGCACCACAGGGGTCTTGGACACTAGCTGCTGCTCTTGGAAGGGCATAGCCCCAGGCCCAGACCACACATAGGGCTCAGCTCTCAGCAGCAGGTTGCCTCAGGGAGGCTGGTGGTGGAGGCCCCTGCCCCAGAGCAGAGGTGCAGCTACACACCAGAGAGCGTGTGGCAGGCAGGCAGGCAGGTAGTGAGGTTCACAGCCTGATGAGATCCTGGCACGTCTCTGAGGAGTCTCATTAAAAATCAAATTGGCCTTGAATTGTGGGAGTAACACTTCTTATTCTGATTCGAGCTTTACAAATTAGATTTCATAGGACATTTTAATCAGCTGTGTGGTGGATTTCTCTCTCTGTCTCTTCAAGTTTTCTGTTGTAATTAGACTGTTTTTGGCACCAAAGCAGAAAAGGAGGGAAGAGATGAGAGAGGAGAAAGGGGAAGAGGAGGGGGAGATTGGAGAAGGAGCTGAGGAGGAGGGGAGTGAGGGGCAGGAGAGGGAGGAGGGAGGGAAGATGGAGGAGGAGGGAGGGGAAGAAGGGGGAGAGGAGGAGCAGGAAGGAGGGGGAGGAGGGGAGGAGGAGAGGGAAGAGGAGGAGCAGGAGGGAGGGGAGGAGGGGCAGGCGAGGGGGGAGAACACCTTCCCCCAGGCCCTTTTCTCCCTGCTGTAATGGTGATTTCACAGCTCATTCTTTTATCTCAAAATCTTTCCTGGAAGAAGGACAATGTCAAGGCAGCCGAGGTAGCCGCCAAACACTGTGCTATCAGAGAGAATTATCAGGTTGTCAGCCTGGAGCTGAAGGGGCTGTAATGAGAAGTCCCTAAATGAAGTGGTGCCTGAGTCCTCCCAAATGTCCCTTATTAGATACGGATAATTGTCCCATTCGCCCTCCGCCCCTCCAGCCTGCTTCTGTTTGGAGGGAGCAGGAGGTGTTGGGTGAGGACATCTCGGGAGCTGGGGGTGCAGGAGGCATCCCCAGGTCAGGGGTAAGTCCTGGACTGTCACCATGGAGACCGGGCTCTGGAGCACAGCACAGGGCTGTCTTCAATGCCTTCTACTCAATGGACGTGGTGGGGGTAGGGGCGGGTGGTGGACTCTGCATGGTCAAAGTCCCCTGGATGGTGTCTCAGGACTAGGATTTGGGGGCAGGCACAAGATGCTTCTGAAGAACTCCCCGAGGGTTGCGCAGAGTAGAGAGGGTCCTGAATGGCTCACCAGAGGGTCTGAGAGAGCTCTAGGGCACCGAGCCCCAAAGTCCCCTGAAGGCTTCAGTGTTCACACTTTGTCTCTTTGGACCTGTTGGAATTTTCTATGGAAAGAATGTTCCTGGGGGAGATGGAGACACAGGATCATCTCAGAAACCACTGAGGGGACACGTAAAGTTATTTATTATCTTAGGGGGGTTAATGATGAGTACTCTAATTGATAGTCTTCCTTTTCAGTCCAATTTTAATTTTTGTGCAGTAGGTTAAGCCACTAAAAATACCTTTGTTTTCTCTGGAACCCAAGATGCTTTTTCAGATTTTGGGGGGTTGCTTTTACAGTATTGCGACCAAACCAGGGCCGTGCCCAGGCTAGGCAAGCACCCTGCCATGAGCCACACCCACAGCCCCTCATGAATCTTATATTGCTATTGATTATGTGGAGTAGATGAGAGTTGGGGTGCTGTGGAGGAGAGGAGTGGAGGGATGGGCCCACTCTCTTCACCTGTGCGACAGATCTTGAGGTCTTCCTTGCCGAGGGCTCCTGGGAGCATAGTCTCAAGCCACGGATGTGGGTCATTGCCCAAAGAATGCTCTTTCCCTGTCCCTTGCTCCCTGCTTTCTTTTTCCCATAGGATCTTCTACTCCAATGCAGTGAAATATGATGGGCCTGGAATCATTTTCTCTAACCTCCTGGAGATGATCTTGAGTGGACGGCCACTCCTCCAGCACATGTGTATTTTGCGCACCTTGACTGACACGCGCTGCGAGGCAGGAGCCCTGTCCGCTTGCGAGAAATAGGTGATGGGCCTGGAGCCTTGTCATGGGACCTGGGCCATCGGAGTGAGTGAGCGCGGAGCAGGCGCTGAGCCACGGAGCTCCTGCCCTCGGTGTAGCCTCAACACGCCCAGCACCTCCACCCCAGGTTGCCCCCTCAGGGTCCCATTCTGCCCGATGACAATGATAAGCCTGGCAGTCAGTGCCACCTCCATTGTCCTGCCTCTCTCTTTTTAATTCCGTGATCTGGGGAAGGGACCGGGGCCTTGCGTGCTAGTCAGTTCTCTGCCCCTGAGCTGCATCACCAGCCTTCCGTCACCATTTTCCATCTGTCACCATTTCAGAGTCTGGCCCAGATGTCCTCCGCAGTTCTCTCGGGCTCATCCTTTCGTCTCCATTTCCTCTGCTACAACCCAAGGCCCGTGCCCTCATTGCCACCACCTGGATTCTTTCGACACACCCAGAGGCTTCCTCACCCCCGCCCTCTATTGCACGTGTCACCCTGGATCTTCCTTCTTAAGTCAACTCTCTCTTTCTGCCACCTCTCATGGCTGTGCACTGTCTGTGGGACAACATGTCACCTCCTGTCCTGGGTCACATGATTCTCCACAGACTGACTCCCCTTCCCTCTGTGTGGTCCACGGCACCCTGTGCTGTTGCTCACTTATGCGACCTGCTCATGTCCTTTCTGTTCCATCATCTGGGATGTACCTCCTCCTCACCTGACCCTTCCTAAGCAGCCCTGCCCATCATCCAAGGCCCTGTTCTGTTCCCAGGAAACTGCTGTTACCCAGAGGGATCGCTGTCTCTTTTCTCCCTTCCTTCCCACTTCCCCCTTTCCCCTCCCCTTCATCTCCTTCAATTTCTCCAGACATTTGTTGAGCACCTAATATATGATGCTGAAGAAACAAAATGAAGGAACAGTGTTTTTCACTTGAGGGCAGAGGTCACAGCTATCTTTTCCACCTTTGTCCCCAAAGCCTGGCTCCACGTGAGAACATGGCATGCCTATTTGTTGAACATGCCTGTGTGCTTGTGGCTTACCGACCCTAGTTTGTCACGGAGATCGGTCATCACTGTAGGAAAATTGGTTTTGCATTATCAACTACTGACCAAGCAGATATTGTGCTGAGCACACCACACAGAATGAGAAAAGTGAAAGATAAAGGGGAAGGGCCAGAGTCTCGAGGAGTCAGGGTTTACAACAAAACAAAAACAAAAACAAAAAACCACTGAGTTATTTATGTGTGACCCACTGGTGGCCAGGTCCAGGGTTTGCCTGCACACACTGCTCCTGCAAAGTGTGGTGGCCATTGTCACCCACATTTTACAGATGAACTGAGCTCTCTGGAGTTTGGACCTTAAGTGTCTCCCAAAAGCCTAGGTTTTAAAGGCCCAGGTGTTGGGTGGTAGTGGGAATTTTAAGAGGTAGGACTGGGATAAGGTCTTTAGGTCATTGATGGTGCATCCTTGAAAGGAATGTGGGACCCTGATCTCTTCCTATGTCTTGGTTTCACAGCTAGGGGGTGACCATATGCTCTCTGCCATTGCCATCCAGCGCCCCTCCAGCAGCCTAAAAGTACTGGATCTGCTGGATCATGCCCTGGAACCTCCCCAAATTGTGTGCCAAAATAAATTTAAAAAAATGAATTTGTGTGCCAAAATATCTTCTTTTTATAAAACTTTTCTTTTTGTAAATTGATTATCTCAGCTAGTTGTCATAGTGATGGAAAACTGATTGACACATGAGGCTCATGGAAATGAAGGACCTGCCCAAGGTCACATGAGTAACCTGGGTGTAACTCAAACCCAAGAGTCCATATCCACTATCCCAAACCATCCACTATCCCATATCCATATCCACTGGATACTGAATTAATGACCCGAAACTTGGAATTTGATTCTCAAGCTAGTATTCACCCCACCAACCAGGCAGCCTCCCAGACCATCTAAGGGAGGTGGAGGATCTCCGGAGTGAAGATGTTTTCCTGGTTCTTATGTGGTCTGCCTCCCAGCTGTGGGTCAATAAGACTGAGCTGGGGTTGAGGGTGAATTATAGTACTGGTCACCACCAGGAGGGATAAAAGAAAGGATGTGTAATGGATGTTACGTATTATTGTACAAATAACTACTACTTATATAATGATCATAAAACATAATTCTATAAATAATATACATATTCTATAATTATATACAGACAGTTCACAAGTTATAACTTCATGAGGGTGTGGAAGTGAAAGTACACAGCAAATTTTGGATTTGATCTTTTCCTAGGCGAGCAATACAGGGTACTGTTGTCTCTTG